TTGGCAAGTCACCTAGCCTCTCTGCGCCTCAGACACCTCATCTCTAGAAAGAAGCCAACAGAAGCAGCTACCTCATGGGTTTGTGGGAAGCCAGAGAGAGAAAGAGAAAGAGATGATGCTGTTTCCCAGCTTACCTAGTAAGACTCGCTGGAAGACAGGGGCTCCTGTCCCGTGTCTCTAGACCTACAAGACTTCGGTGTCCCAAGGGTTTAGTGCACTTCTAAGCTTTAGTAGACGTATATTCTATCAAGTATACTTCTATTTCAGAAATACGAATGCTTCAAATTGACAAAGAACATCAACGTTTGATTATCTAAACCTCCTGTTTATTTAGTTTTACAAATTTTGAATAATAACTTTTATAATTTAAAAGTTTATTACACTTACATTCATTTTTACAGCTTTAGTAAGGTGTAATTGACACACAACAGTTGCAAATATTTAAAATTTACTTTCCGGTAAGCTTTGTCGTATGTGTCCAACCATCACTACATCAGGATAATGAACATATTTCTCACCCCTACAACCTTCCTTGTGCCCCTCTGTAATTCCTCCCTCACCCCTCTCCCCAGACAACCTTGATCCGCATTCTGCAACCGATGTGCTTGTCTGCAAACATTAGTTTGCATTTTCTAGAATTTTATATAAATTCAATCACACAGTAGATACTACCTTTCGTCTGGCTTCTTGACCTCAGCACCATCATTTTAAGATTCGTCCTGTTGCATCCAGCACCAGTTCGTTCCTTTTTATTGTCGAGGAGTGCTCCAGTGTCTAGGTACACCGCGACTTCTTTATCCGGTCACCCCCGATGGCATTGGGGTTGTTTTGAATGTTGAAAAATGAAATTTTAATTTTAATGTTTTTTGAAGATAGCCATGTTGACTGAAATAAAAAAATTAAAAATCTATTATTAAAAATTCACAAAACTAAATAATTAAACTATCAAAGGGTGGTTTTTGTAAGTTTCTATCATTTATACTTTTGAAGCTATTAAAGCTTAAAAAAGCACTGGAAAAAGCGCACTATGACTTTTGGGACTCCCTTTAGTTTTACTAAGTGCCCCGGGGATTATTATGATCAAGCAGTTTGGGGAAACACCGAGCTACTGGCGTATATCAAGCCCTTGGCACGGTTGGTGCTGGCACACCGTGAGCGCTCCCTAGCAGGCCTTACTCCCACAGAAAGCACTTCGTTCTGAGTGCAGATTCTTTTCCTCGCCCTCTACACACACGCGCGCACGGAGGCTTCTGGCAGCCCCAGGCTCAGCTGGGTCATCCAACTCCAGCTCAGCTTCGGCACCAATGCCTCTCAGTGGAGGGGAGACGGGGACGTGGGAGGCAGGAGGCAGGGGTGGCTGGCTGCGCTGTGGGAATCCCTGAGAAGCTTCCGGGGTGGGAGGAGAGCATCCTCCTGGTGGTCTCTCTGTTTGTTTCCCAGGCCAGGCCAAGCCTTCACCTCCTGACCCTGTGGGAACCACAAGTGAGGCCTCGGCTCCACCCAGGAGGGGCTGCAGGGAGTAGGAGACTCAGTTAGACAGCCCTGGCCCCTACCAGCTCCCTGAGGGTGCTCCCAGCCCTGCAGGTCACACAGCTCCTGCAAGGATCACGAGAGAGAATGGCGGTGAGAGGTGGCGTAAGTGATGCACAGAGAAGGCGCAATAACATGAATCGTGTTCATAAGGAGCCAGGAGCACTAAGAAGGCATTCTGCTGACATTAAGACATCGGTGTGCCAAGACAGGCGCATATATTGAGCATCTACTGTCTACCCCACCACATGCTCAGGAGAGTGAGGGGGAAGAACTTGAAACCAGAAGCAGCTAGTGACCTACAGGGGTTTACGTCCTTTTGGTGGCCACCAGATCAAGACGTGCCTCCCTTAGCCTCGCCGTCTTACCTCTGTGTCCCCCAGTCCGGGGGCTGGGTTAAATGTATTCATTCAACGTATATGTTCTGAGCGCTTGTATCAAGAGCTGTGCTGGGGGTTCTGTGGCGAACTGAACAGACAGGCAATCTGGTTTAGGCCAGTGCTGGGGGAGGGGAACAGACAAAATAAACCAACAGCACCAAACCAAACAAGCGGATTTCCGACCGTGAAAGTGCTGTGGAGGAAATGAAGGAACAGGGTGAGGTGACAGAGTGCAGGAGGTCAGTTTAGACAGGGTCAGAGGGAAGGGCCTCTCTGTGCAAGGGAGGCCACAAATGACTGTGCTGGGACGTGGTAGTATCCAGTCAGAATGACTGAGGGTCCATCACGGCTTCACCCCTGGCTAGGTCTTCCATCTCAGGCAAGCTGCTAAACGCCCCGAGCCTCAGTTTCCTTACCTGTAAAATGGGAGTAAATACCCAATGTCCTCCCTAGGGGTGAAAGGAGGGGTCAACCAGATGATGCAAGCACTTACTAAACAATAGGTTATTTCCATCTCATCAGCCTGGGCCAGGTACTCACAATCCATGGGTTAGTCCCTGTGGAGGAGGACACGGGGCAGCCCAACCCAAACACTCCTGAGCCTGCGTTTCCTAACTGATTCCAGTGTCTTTCTCTCATGCAGCACATGCAAGGGTCTCAAACTCGTTTGTCTTCAGGGACAGGCAAATGGGCATAAGAAGCTGCACCTTAGAGAAGAGACCTTGCCTAAAGGAAGCAGGTGCCATTCAGCATTAGGGACCGTTTGCCATGTTGAAACGAGGGCCCAGACCTTTCCACTTCTCAAATGATGAAAAACCTATTTCATGCAAAATCTTAAGAATTTTCAGTGTTGGCAATTTAAATAAAAGCCTTTCAAAATACCGCTGGAGGCAGACAAAACCCTGCTATCAGCCGAGGCTGGCTGCAGGTGCGGGGTTTGCAACCTTGCCAGGCCCCTCGCCGAGCACTCTGAAGAATATCCAGCAAACTGCACTCCAGGCTTGCTGGCGGAAAACAACTAGGGGCTCAAGGACCTCAACCCGTCAACAAAAAGCAGCTGGGTCAGAGCCTGAATGGGGCAGGGAGGGTGCCTGAAGGCGGAGGGAGAGCACCTGAGGAAGGCTTGGAAGAGGAGACCCTTGAGCTGGAGTCTGTGGGGTGAACAGGAGTGGTCTGTGTGAAGGAAGAGGGGGCTGAACCGTCTGGGCAGAGGAGGAGCAGCTTTGAACTCTGGGGAAGGGTAGGCGTTTCCATGGGCCTGGAGTGCCCTTGGGGTGCCAGGGGATGGTGGGGGAGGGCCGTACGGGGTCTCCATCTCCAGATCACGGAGAGCCACGTGTGCTCAGCAGAGGTGCCGACACAGCACAGCTCGGCCCTGGGTGTCGGCCTCCAAGCCCAGCAGCGGGGGTAACAGAAGGGGTGGGCGAGTGCCGAGGATGGAAGCCAGAAAGAAGCCTGTGCTTCGACCTGCCTCCATCATCGCAGTCATTCGTTTAGGCTGACGAGGACAGCAAGCGACAGTCAGTTATGAATCAGGGGCTGGGCTTCGGAGAGGAACGAGCTGGGAGCCGTCCCTGCTTCCAGGGAGCTCACGGTCTGCTGGCGGCGACAGAAGAGGCTTAGACAACTGCTCTACAATGCTTTACTTTGAAGAGGGCTTGGCCCACTTGCTGGGGAGCTAGTGACAGGGTTGCAGAGGAGGCGAGTTTTAGGCTGTGTCTTGATAGCTGAGTAGGAGTTTAGCAGGCGGATAAAGTGGCAACAGTGGGAGGCTGTGTGCAGAAGGAGCACGTGCAGGGAGAGGTGTGCGGGGCACCTGCTTCAATGAATACGGGATTCATTCACCCACTTGACATGTATTTAGTGAGTTCCTGTGTGCCAGGAGCTCTGCTGGGCACTGAAGGGACATGAAAAAGCAGATGCCCTTCACCCTTACAAAACTTACACTATTTAATTCCTCCCTACCTCAGTGTCCCCATCTCTGAAATGCCTTACATGCCTCACAGAGCTTCAGCAAGGGCTGAACAGGATCACACAGGCTTCGATAGGCTGACATACATGGGAAGACAGCCAGTGTCACCCTGACATAGAAAATGCTCATTGAATATGTGCAGAACTCAACAGCCGTCCTCCCTTGGCTCCCCGAGAAGCCAGCACTTGGAGTTCACCTGCCTTAGACTCACCACATAAGCAGGTTTGTTCAACGAATGAATAAACAAACGACCAGATGTCTATGCACTATGCGCTTTACTCACATTGACTACTTACAACATTTCTGTCAGGTAGATAGTACCCTTTATCTCCATTTTTCAGCCCAGGAAGCAGAAGATTCAAGATGATAAGTGACGGTCTAATGTGCCCAAGTGGTGACAGAGAAGGATCCAGATTCTGCCTCCTGGCAGCCTGACCTCACTGAGCCTGGCACTTAACCACGCCGCATAACGTTGCTCATGTCGAAGGAGGGTCCGGAACAGCCTGACGGAAAGCATTCGAGAACTTCAAGGGACTTTGCCCCCCACCCTCCAGCCAGCCGGGATGGCCCTCAAAGGTTATCTCCCAGGTCAGGTAATCTGTCGGTCAGTCTGTCTGGGGCAGGGGAAGTGAGAAGGTGTCACTCCCTTCCTGGGTAGAGGACACTTCTGGTCCTTCTTGCGGAAATGCATCCTGGATGAATGAATGTCCTGAAAAATGAGAAGGGTTGCTGTCAGCCTCTGTCTTGAGGAGGGGACAGAGACTCGAGTTCTTCCAGGGTGCCAGAGCTGGAGAAAGGTCAGTGATGGCCGGGCCTTGACAGAGTCGCTCTTGCTGGTCAGAGAGCACCTCCAGGCCCCGACACAGCTCTGGACCAATACACATCAGAAACGAGCTGTCTGCGCTCACAGACCCTGGGAAAGCCCAGACTTTTATCTGAGAGTTTTTTAAGGTCTTTGTACAGGGCACATGTTCACCCTCTCATTGATAGGGAAGCAATAGGGCTAAAAGCATGGGTTTGGGTAACGAGCAGACCTGGCCTTTCACTTACTGGCTGTTTCCAGTTGTAAATTTGCGGCCTTGAGCAAGTTACCTTCTTCCCTCTGAGCCTCTGTTCTCTAAGCCCTGAAGTACAGACGATGATAAAATCAATGCAATCATTAGCAGAGTGCCTATTGCTTTAGGTGCTCAATAAATGGTAGCTCTTGTTATTATCATTCATTTTAACTGAAACATTTATCGAGCATCTACTATGTGACACATAGTGCTAGGGACACAGGATGGATAGAGCGGTACCCTCAATTTCAAGAAGCGTCTGGTCTGTATGGGAAGTAAATATATCGTCTTTGTTGTTCCTTCTCCAATCTTGGTGGATAAGACTGCTTGTGCCAAATGTCCCTGTTTAAACTGGGACCACCTGGATTCCAGGACACGTGGGGACTGCGGAGACCTGGGTTTTGGGGGGGCTGACTCCCATACCTCTGTCTAGCTGTCTGTACCTCCCGTGTTGCCATTCTTCGTGTTCTTCATTCACGTGCTCCCGTGTCCTCGTCAGGGGCTCCCACAGCACTGACGGCGATCTCTCACTGTGTGAAGGTGCCTGTGCCTCTGCGGGGGCTCTGATGCAGAGGGCCGGGGCTGACAATCCAGAGCCAGCGAGCCCCAGACTGGGGAAGTCAGATGAGAACCACGGTGCACCCATAATAATACCTATATGCATAAGGCTTTACAAATACACCAGGTTTTAGAGCTTGCAAACCATTTTAGCATTCGTTTAATTTACTCCGTATGGAAGGAGGTATTTCCAGGCATGTCTTACAGATGAGGAAGCTGAACGCAGAGAGTTGGGTGCCAATCTGTAACCCAGCCCACCCAGGTTTTCAAAGTTGTCTGGGAAGACTCACAGGGGTGCGTGTTAAACACACAGATTACCTAACCCTCTCTCCAAATTCTAACTCTGAAAGGTCCGGATTGGGACTCGGGAATCAACAGTTTAACAAACAGCCCAGGTGATACTTACCTTCGGGCCAGTCCGGACACATGCCATTCATTGATTTATTTACTTAAGATTCTTTGGGGCCCAACCAAGACATGCACTGCGAGGAGAGCACGATGAACAAAACAGTCCCCAACTTTAAGGAACGAACAGTTGGCAGGGTGAGCAGGCTGTCTAGGTCCCGTGGCCGGTGTGGGTCTGCAACCCGGGTCTCTCCTAGAAGAGGTCCCTTCCTGCTGGGTGGGATGGCTTCCCCCGACACCGGTTCGGAGCTCCTGGCTGAGCTGGCTGGGCCTCCTTCCATTGTCTAACACCTGCTCATGGCTGGGGTTCTTTGGAGCTGGCAGCATCCTGTGAAAGGAGCCGAGACGTGCCTGGCACAGAGTAAGTGTTGCAGTAAATGCCAGCCAGCTGCTAATGTGCTTGTCAGGGCTTGGAAAGGGCAGAGGGGTGGGGGAGAAAGAGCCCTCCTGAGCTGAGGAAGACAGCTGCGGCCAGACAACGGACTGGGATTTACATTTCTTTAAAGGTAATTCCAGCTTTGACCTGATTCTGCACCTGGAAGGGAGGCCAGGCCAGGAGCACTGTTGTGCAGATGAGGAAAGCAGAGCCCGGAGAGAGGGAAGTGGGAGGTCCTGAGCGGAAACCCGAGTCTCCTGGAGTAACTGCCCGGCGGGCAGGGACTGCAGGACATGGACAGCACTGGCAACACTTTTCCTGAAATCACCGGGGTGCTGTGCACCTGTGAAGACAAGAGCCTGACGACACGCAAGTGTCCCCTTCGTGAGGGCCAGGGTCACCCGGGGAGCTACACCCCAGGCTCTAGCTTCTGCTGAATACTTCGCTTTTCCGATGGAGAAGTCCGTATTTCATCCTGGTCAGGTCACGGGGACCCTCTGTCTTCCCTGGGAGAGCACTTCCATATTTGAAGCAGGGTCCGTGTGGCTTCATCTAGAGCTCACCTTTGTTCCAGCAACTCCTGGTACCCAGTAGTTTCCCAGAGGCCAGCCCTCCAGACGGGCCTTGCCAGATAAGGCCAGGGGTGCTCCCAGAGGCCTTCTGGACAGTGTCCTGGAAGGCTGCACAGATCTGGCCGGCTGAAGCACCCTAAGCCAGTGTAGGGCTGCAGCCTGCTTCAGAGTCCCCAGGGTCCATGCCATTCCCTACCTGCTCCTTGTTGAGCCTGCTCCATCTGCAGCCTGAGGACAGGAAAGGGCAGGGGTGCCAGGTGAAGCAGAGTAAGGAAGACACGATTCTGACCTGGGAATTAGTTTGCCAGCGACAAACCTACTACGTCTCAGAAACAAGGCCTTTAGTATCTAGAGTAGCAGGGTGCCAGGATGCCCCGACCGAGCAAAGTAGGCGGTCCCTGGCCCTAACGGCTCCTCCACCTCTGGGGTCTCCTCCCTACCAGGCTCAAGGCACGCCTGTCCTTAGCAGGGGCTCCCTCTGGGGTCTACCCCCCTCCCCGGGGTGGGGTGTATACGATCTTAAAGCTTTCCCCTCGGAGGAAGGGCAGGGGCGGGGCGGCTGCGAAGACCCAGGATATAAGAGGCGGAGGCGCCGCTCCCAGGCCCGCCGCCCACCATGCACGCCCGCCGCCTGCCGTTCCTCCTGCTGCACGCCGGGTGGGCCCTGCTCCAGGCGGGCGCCGCGACGGTGGCTCCCGTGCCCCTTCGTACGCGTGGGGAGCCCTCGTCGCCGTCCCCTCTCGCGTATATGCTGAGCCTCTACCGCGACCCGCTGCCCCGGGCAGACATCATCCGCAGCCTGCAGGCGCAAGGTGGGCTGCCCCGCCCGGCCCCGCCGAGCCGCCCGAAGCGCCTCGGGCCGCGTCCTGCCCATGGACTCTGGAAGGATCCCGAGCGGGCCGGGGGCTGGGGCTGCCGCGGTCGGGGGCGTAGCGACGCGCTCGGAGGGCGCGTCCAGGGTCTGGGTCTGGGGGGTCTCGACGTCTGCATTGGCTCGGGGCGCGGGGCTGGTGGATGGCGGGGATTCTGGCGTCCGGGCTGTGTCCTGGACGGAGCCCTCTGCGTTCCGCGTTCTGGTTTAGAATGGCTAGGTCGCGGTACTGTATGGTGGGTGGGAGCCCGATCGCGCCATGTAGCCCTGAGATCTTGTTAAATTACGTAACCTCCGGGCGCCTCGGTTTCCGCATCTGTAGAATGGGGAAATAGTACATCCCTGACAAGTCTGTGGCGAGGGCTAGGTGACAAGGCACAGAAGACGCTTACCCAAAACCAGGCATAGTAAGAATAAGTGGTCGCTATTATTGCTACGATTATTTTGTCTTGTCGAATTTTTTTCATTTTTCATTTTGCGAGTGAGGGTGAATGGGTCCCCGGGTCTGGAGTTCGGAGTGTCTCAGGCTGAGAGCGAGCTTCGAAACCTGGTATCAAGCATGTCCTATCAGGGATCAGGGTTCAGAGATCTGAGATTAGAGATGGGGCGCCCCGACATCAAGAACTGAGGCAGGGTTGGGTCCTTGAGCCCGGATGTCGGTGTCCCGGGTGACTCCGGATTCGGAGCCTAGATTTGGCGGCGGGTGGGGGGGACCATGGTGACCTAGGAGTATTGCCCACGAGGAGGGGGCAGCTCGTTCTGGATGCCGGGCGCGGCGGACAGGTGGGTGTTGAGCAGAGGGAGCCCTTCCCGTGGGGTCTCTTTCCCGCAGGTTCCCTTCCCCCCACGCAATCCACATCCTGGCGCCTGGGGGGGGAGGGGTGTGGCGGGATGGGGGGCACAGAGCCCTGAACCTCCGCTCCTCCTTCTGCCTGCCGGGGGCCAGACGGCCTCCCTGGGGCTGGGTCCCAATCCACATCTGATGATTTGATCTGACTGGCCACCCGCCGGCCCCTTGTGGTCTGGGGGTAGGGGCTCGTAGCTCCCTGGCCTGCCACGACTGGGGTCAGACGCTGATGACCCTCTCCGGAAGGGTCATCTGGGGACCAGCCAGACACACCCGAGGGGCGGGGCACTTTGAACATTATTGGAGTGCTAGACGTCTCTGCCAGAAAGCCGCAGGGGGGTGGGACTGGGCAAAGGGGGGATGCACTTTTCCAGTTCACTGCCTCCTCCGGGAGAGTTCTCGAAGGTTTGTGGTGACTCGATCACCTGGGAGTCTGGAAAACTGGGTGCTGGGCCCTCAAACCCTGCTTCCCAATCCCTTGTGTGTCCCTGGCCTTTCAGTTGATTCCTCTAGTTTTCTCTTTTGTTAGGGGACAGGCTGGCTTTCTGCCTCATCTGTGTGTGTGTGTGGTAAAATATGCAAAACAAAATTTACCATTTTAACCATTTTTAAGTGCACAGTGGCATTAAGTACATTCACATTGTTGTCAATTGGTGTGTTTTTTAAAAACAGCCAGAACAGCCTGCCTCGGGGAGGCTGATGGAGAAGCGATGTCCCAAGCCGGCTCCTCTCCCTCTTGGGTTTCTTTGTCAGCCGCACCGGCCCAGCGGCAGTGGGTGTTGGAGTCTAACCAAACTGGGTTTGCGTCTTCGGCTGTCACTGCTTAACCACCTTCACTCTGGACCTTCGGTTGGTTTCCTCCTCTGCAACGTAGTGCTAACAGTGGCGGACGGTTAAGGTGACAGTGCTTGTAAAACACTTGGGTGGAGAAGCAGTTAGTGGGAATTCCCTTTATAATTTATAATACTGTAGAGTGGGCACTCGGTGTCACACGCACACCCTCCGTTTCTTTGGAGTCCGTCACCTTACTTGGCCCCGGCACCGTGTGTAAGGAGGGAATCCAAGGGCAGGAGCACAACCACTTCCTTCTTTAGAATTGGAGGTGGCTCAGGAGTTCCCTGGGGCCTATGTGGCCAAGTCTGCATTCAGTGTATGGATGGGTTTCAGGGTGTCCATGGACCCCTTCCTCATGCCCAACCCCAAATCACATTTATTGTGTAAGTGCAAGGGGCAGCTTTTTCTGGGGAGAGCATTCTTAGCTTTCCTCAGGCATCATTGACCCCCAACAGATTAGACGTCCCATTCTGAGAGGAGCTGGAGCCAACTCGAAGAGAACCTATCAGCACTGTGTCCCAGGGAGCCCTCGGCTGGGGGTGGGGTGTGGAGTCCCAGACTCTTCCAGCAGGAACGAGTAATGTCCTCCTTGCCTCTCCGTGCACACTGCCCGTCCTGGTAACAGATGGCTTCGTTCCCCTGTCCAGGTCTCTCACTGCCAGGACACCTTCCTTTCTAACTTTGGGCCTGGGCAGTAATAAGGAGGGGTTGATGACGGCCAGCGTTGATTGCTCTTTGGTTGTTGTGCTCGGCAAAGTTTACATGCATTATCTCAGCAAATCACAACACCTCTGTGAGGTGGATACTGTCACCATCTCCCTTTTACAAAGGGAAACTGAGGCCCAGAGAAGGCCTCAGAGAGTACCCTGCCCATTGTTAAATGGCAAGTGGCAGGATTTGGACCATCACAGGAGGCACCAGGGCCACTGCTCTTAACCAATGGATGCCTTCCTCTGAAAGGCCATTTGTGGAACTTGAGATAATACCTTTGTATCTCCTGGTGCAGCTGGCCAGGCGTTGCCGCATGTCCCACCTAATACCCTGGCGACCAGGTGGTGCTGCAATGGGCACTGGCTATGTCAGCCTCCTCCCCACACCTCTGGGGAAGAGTCGCTAGTCAGGGGCCGGTTATTGCCCCCTGCGGGTGCTAATGAGGAGGGAAGTGGAAATTAAGTGAAAAAGAACAGCTAGAGATGGGCTGGGAGAAGCTGCCCGCGGGCTGGAGCTGGGAATTGCCCCCTTCCAGTGCAGGCTCGACTTGCAGAGAAATTCACTCTCTGACCAAAGATGCCCTATGAGACGTTAAAGAAATAAACTGTTGTGTGTCTGCCCAGAGCAGCCCTAAATCTGAGATCATTTCTCCCTCTGGCGTCTGTTCATGAAAGGGCTACTGCTTTTATTTCTAGTGAATCCCTAACTTTTATTTAGCAATAAACCTTCAAACCTCTTTATTTCCCTGGGTCCTCATGATTGTGCAGAGATGGGTAGGGCATTACTATTCCCATTGCAAAGAAGAGGAAACTAGGTTTGAAAAAAAGTTAAAGATCACTTTTAGGTGCCCTGAAAATCCACAAATACGTCCTATTCCCAGACACCAGACCAAATCAGTCCAGGACTCAAATAAACGGGATGTGCTTCCTCCATATTCCTCTTCTGCAGTTTGGGTTTGGTTGTCTTGGGTGGGTGGAACAGGCCTGGGGGGCGTGTGTGAATGACTTGGGGCGGGAGAGGTGGGTGCCCTGCAGGCAGGTAGGAGAGACCTCTGGGTGGGAAAGTGCGAAAGTCAGTGCAAAGTCAAGTTTAGAACGCCCATAGAAGCCTAATTGTAAGCTTGCCAAAAACTCCTGAAGTTTCTGCCTTCATCTTTAGGAACTGGTGGGGAGAAGGTGGCCAGTCTTTGGCTTCTGTTGCCTGTTCCTCCCTGAGAACCACGAGCTTTTCCACAGTATGCACACAACTTCCTTGTGCCTGTGGGCCAGGTCTTTCCAACGAGCACGCAGAGCCTGGGAAGGCGCTTGGCTCCAGGGTCGCGGGTGAATTTAGGTCCGAAAGCTCAGGGCTTGGCCTTAGACTGCGAGTGTGAGGGGAGAGAGGACGGGGGAGGCGAACCCATCTAATTTTTACCCATTGTTCTCTGGCTGCGGAGCGTATTGAGGGAGGACGGCAGATCCGTGGGTTGGAGTTTGGGCTTTGCAGCTGGACAATCCACGTTTATTCTTGGCTCTGTCTGCCACCTTCCAATGACACCTTGGGCAGGTGACTTAACCTCTGTGAGCCTCAATTTTCTTCATCTCTAAAATGGACTCAATAACGGCCGCAACTCATAGGGTTGAGTGAGGATTAAGAGAGAGGATTTATATACGGTAAGGGCTCAAGCAGGAGCTATGGTTGTTGTTACCTGCCGTGAGGCTGCAGGAGGCCCCCACTCACCCTGCTTCCTTCCTGGTTTTTCCCACCCAGATGTGGAGGTGGATGGGCAGAACTGGACCTTTGCTTTTGACTTCTCCTTCCTGAGCCAAGAAGAGGATCTGGTGTCGGCTGAGCTCCGGCTGCAGCTGTCCAGCCCTCTGGACCTTCCCCTTGACGTCCCGCTCTCCATTGAGATTTTCCACCAGCCGAAGCTGGAGGCGGATCAGGACCCAGCCTACTGCCTGGAACGTCTTCGGATGGACCTGTTCACTGTCACCCAGTCCCAGGTGACCTTTTCCTCAGGCAGCATGGTCCTGGAGGTGACCAGGCCACTCTCCAAGTGGCTGAAGCACCCTGGGGAGCTGGAGGAGCAGATGTCCAGTTTGGCTGGAGAGTGTTGGCAGCAGCCTCCCACACCGCCTGTCGCTGACGTGCTCCTCATGCTTTACTCCAACCTGTCCCCGGAGCAGAGGCGGCTGGGTGGCTCTACCTTGCTCTGGGAAGCTGAGAGCTCCTGGCGGGCCCAGGAGGGACAGCTCTCCCGGGAGAGGGACAGGAGGCACCGTCGACATCACTTGCCAGACAGAAGCCAACTGTGTCGGAAGGTCAAGTTCCAGGTGGACTTCAACGTGATTGGATGGGGCTCCTGGATCATCTACCCCAAGCAGTACAATGCCTATCGCTGTGAGGGCGAGTGTCCTAACCCCGTGGGGGAGGAGTTCCATCCGACCAACCATGCCTACATCCAGGTGCGACCCCAAGGCCTAGGGGAGGGGAGACAGTAAGCTGATGGGGAGAAATGGCCATACTGCCAGATCAGGGCAACAGGTCTCCAGCTTTGCTATTGAGTTACTGTGTTCATTCGTGCAGTTGTTGAAGCACCTACAGTGTGCCAGGTCCTGTGCTAGGTCCTAAGGATATAGAGATGACCAATGACAGCATCCTCAGAGAGCCCACGTGGAGTCATGCCCCATTGGGCAGCCTTGAACACATTGCTTTCCTAGGACTTTTTCCTTATTGTTCATAAAGTCAGGAGTGGAGGGTGTAGACCAGTGGGTCTCAGCTCCTCCACAGCCCTGACATTCTAGGAAAGGAAGTTCAGAATCTGCAGTTTGGGGATAGACAGGCCTGGGTTTGATTCTTACTTATTAGCTGTGCAATATTGATCAAGTTGCTTACTCTCTGGGCCTCAGTTTTCCTACCTGTAAAATGGGGATAGCAATGCATATTTCATAGGGATGTTGAAGGGTTAAATGAGATGATATGCATACCACGTGTACAGTAGATGGCAGATAACAGGCCTGTTTGATGTTGTATTATCATTACTAGAAGTCTGTGATTAACTGATAAAATGGGGGCCATGTTTATAGGGCCGTGGTTGAGATAATATTGTTCCAGCTACTGTACTTTTGCTGCCTAAAACAGGAGTTAGACACCCATTTGGCAGGAGTAAATAAGGCCAGAGGCTGTCACCAGGTGCCACTGTCAACCTAAGTTCTAGAAGGTGGTGGAGGGAGAGGAATGGAAGGAGAATGAGATGGAGAAAGCAGAGAATAGAGCCTAATATGGTGGCCCTGCCCTGCTCTCAAAGGTCATATGGAACCAAAGTGTTTTTACGTCACTCCATGAAGCGTAGACTCAGAACTCTTGGACCCATAGTACATCCTTCATGCCAAGCCTCAGGCGGGCTTGAGGCTCTGGGGAGCACATGGGCTGAGCTCATGCAGTGGAGGCACTGGTGGGGGCCAGCACCCTGGAGAACCTGTCCTGGGCAAAGGCCCTCCTGAGCCTCTCCCAGGCCCCTTTGCTCCACCAACCTACATGCAGCACGATCAGAGGGAACCACAGACCCAGACAGTCCCGGGCGCCAACTCTGACACTTTGATCTGAAAAGACATCACTGGACCCCAGGGACAGGGCCCAGTTCCGGAAAGCCCAGGAGTTGTTACCTTTTCTCCCATTGACTCTGTTTGCCCTTCTCTGGGCAACAAAGCTAATCCCACAGGAATTTCCGCATGACTCTCTTCTGCTTCATATTTCTGGAACTAAACCAGGAGTTTCTTGGAATATTTTTTAAACTGGTATTCACTCTAGACCAGAACAATAGAACATGTAAGTTAGCTACTGCTCTACCCACATATAGCTTTTAGAAATCTTCTATTTAAAGGCTGTTTTAAAAAAAGATAAAGTTATTTTCGGTGTGAAGGTTGATGATGTATTGGCATACTGATTCCTTTATGAAAACACTCTCTTCTATTTTTGTACCCAGAAACTGCTTTTAACGCTCTGTAGCTTTTTCACCCTTTACCCTGAAATGACACTCTTCTGACTTGACTATTGGCGTGTGAATTGACCCCTCTCCTCCCTTTCACAGAGCCTGCTGAAACGGTACCAGCCCCACCGGGTCCCTTCCACCTGCTGTGCCCCAGTCAAGACCAAGCCACTGAGCATGCTGTACGTGGACAACGGCAGAGTCCTTCTAGACCACCACAGAGACATGATCGTGGAAGAATGTGGGTGCCTTTGAGATCCTGGAGGGGTGTTGGATTTGCCTGTGCCCTGGAAGGTTGGGAAGCTCCTGGAAGACACATAACCATCTGATCCAATGAGGGCAAACCAAGAGGGGAAAGTTGCTCTGTCCACCAGACCTGAGGGCTGCCCACTGTGTTCATGAAAGCTCCGTGGAGCCCAGCCGCCGTCAGGAGAGGGAGGAGGAAGCCTGGGATGTGGGCTTGCTGGGTCTTCTCTTTACAGGACAGACAGAGGCAGTAAAAGCACTAGTATGAGAGTTCTGTATGTGACTTTTTTTAACCTGTGAACCCCCGGAAATTGTATGCAAAAGTTGGGGCATATGTACATTTATTTTTGAGGTGGGACAAGGTTGTTTATAACTTTTATGTATTCTCAAAAGCAGTCTTTGACACCCCCCCCCCCCAAAAGATTAAGTATGACTGTGTTGAGTTAAAAACAGTTGGCTCTCGTTGCCTCAGGCTGGGCCGGGGAGCCCCCACATCTTTCTGGCTGGCCAGGAGCAATCTGTTGGCCTTGTCCAGAGGCTCCCTGGAGTGGATCTCTGCTAATGAGTTGCACAAACAATAAAGCCATTGTATGGTCCTTCTAGGCCAGCTGGTGCCTTTGAAGGGAGGCAGAAATTCGTCCAAGAGAACTGGCCACCTTGGACTACAGAGCTGGAGCTCTCGGACATCCCCGAGCCAGTCTGCTTGAGCAGACACAATCCGAGTCTATTAAAGCTGGCGACAGTTCATCTCCATCTCTCAGTGCGTACTATTAATGGGGCCCCTGAGCTTCCTATCCAGTGGAGGCCCTGCCCTGGGTGGCAGGAGACTTGGGTTATGGTTGCAGCTCAGCCACTGAGGAGCTGTGTGACCTCAGGTGAAAAATTCACTGCTCAGCCTTGTCCTGTGAAATGAAAGCAGGTGGATCCCAGTGCATTCCTGTTAAACGGCCATTGGCAGGCTCAGAAGAGGCGTGAGCTTTAAGCCAGACTGTCCTCTGGGCCTTATGCCCATCTCCCTCTAAAGCTTCTGAAGCCTGCTGAGCCTTACCTTTATCAGCTCTTTGGTTGCTTAGGGTCCTAAGACTGGCTTAATTTCAGATTCCACATAGCAGCACAGCAAAAGGAACCCAAGTTTTCTTGTAGGAATCTCTACCACCAAACACCTGAGCACAAGTCTTCACCTTCTGGATGAAAACACCCAGGCAGCGATTCTGCTTTTCTCTTATCAGCTAACCTTGTTGAGCATTGCCAAAACAGAGGCTGTATTTTTTTTTTTTGTTTGGTGGGGGGGTGGGGGGGTGGGGGGCGCGTTTTATTTTGAATGTGAGTCCACAGTAAATCTACCCCTGCTTTTCCAAGAAGCCCGTTGACTTGTGCTCCAGCCTTAGAAAAGGGATTCCCATCATATGGGAACCCTTGCTGGGTTTACAAGTGACTCAGCTGCAGCTTTGGTTGAGTCAAGGTAGTAATCCTGGCCCAGCCTCTCCCAGGGCCTGGGCTTAAGAAACCTTAATGCCTTGATGCAGCAACAAAGTTGATCCAGCTGCTCACTTCCTAGAGCAACTAGACCTGCTGGAACCACAATGCAGAAGGACAATAGGATTCTGCATCTGACTCGGAGAATTCTAACAACGGGGCTGGGGAGCCCTTGTAAAGTCAGCTTTTGTCCCATCCTCTTTCCTAAATGAGACCCCAGAGAGGCCTCGTGGCCTGGCCACACAGCCAGGAGTGGCAGGGCCAAGAGCTGAGCTCTGGTCTCTGGAGCCCCAGCGGCACTGCCTTAAGAGCATCGAGAGGTTCTTGCTCCCCTAGCTAGGGGTCAAGACCTTAGCCTTTGGAACCAGACATTTGAATCCCAATTCCACTATCAAAGTAAAGCTCTTGGGAGTGAAAATCCCATCCCAGGGCTTTAGAGCATCTTTACTGAGTAGGTGCCCAACAGGTCTTCTGTGGCTGGGGCCAGGAAAGAGAAAGGTCAAGCTATTTGTGGCTGCAGCGTGTGGGAGTGTTTACAGCTTGCAGCTCTACTGCCTCAGAGAACAAACCTCACTGACGACAAGGCATTGCCTCCTATCAAGCAGAACAGGCAGGAAACTGCACTTTACTGACCCTGCTAAAAGCTCAGTGTTTGCTGTTAGCAGCAGGGGCATTCTGCTGCCTGGCCAGAGGTATTTGGGGCCAAGCAACACAGCTCTACTCTGGACCACGTGCTGGTGAAGGCTTTCTAAGTTAGAGGAAATACTGCCTCTGAGAACTGAGTCCTGCCCTAACCTGGAGCTTCCACACAAGAGGCAGAGGTATTTTAACTTGCTCTCAAGGCAAATGTAACTTCTACTGTTCCTACAGCAGTGCTAAGTCAGTAGCTGAGTGGGAAAAACTGACGCATTACTCTCCCTGGCTGGGGAAGTGGGTGGGCCCGGCAGTAGGTAGCAGTGGAGAAAAGGAAAGACAAGTAAGAGAAGCAGAAACAGAGCATACACCAGAGGCGGGCAGTGGCTGTGACTCTGGCACAGCACCACAGTTGGGGTTTAGCTCCATCTTGTCAAGTCCTCCATTTTATTAGCAGTAAAACCCTTATCCCTGTATCCTACGTTGCCTTTGAAGTTAATATCCCACTTGCCTTTGGACAGAATAAAGGATAAATTAAAGTGCTTTCAAAATTATTTGACCCCCATTTTACCTTAAAGAGATTCTTTAGTCCTCCTAGAGGCCCCACAACCAGGTGGTGGTTGCAAGTCAGCAGGCCAGCTCCACTCCCAAACTTGCAGTCTGGGGAAAACTGTTCCCAGCCGACCACCCTCGGTCACGCCAACTGAGCCGTGCCTGAGGCCTCTGTTGAACTCAGTGTGCCAGGCACTGGGCTGAGTGCTTCCTGTGATCTTACCTGAACTTCACAACCCCCTGGGAAAGACTTCTTATCTTAAGCCTGTTTCAGAGAAGGAAAACGAGGCTTAGAGATGGAGATTCCTGTTGAAGGAAATGCTACTGGAATTCGAGCCTGTCTTACTCCTGAGCCTCTGCCCTACACACATACATTGTTCTGACGGGAAAACAGCGCAAGTCGTTTTATTCTGTGCACCTGTTTACATCTAAAACATGAAAGGACAGAATTCTTGTTCCCAATACTAATATATGAGCCTCATTGGATTAATAATAGCAAGGAATCTGATGCTTATGCAGCGCAGCCTAGTTTATTTTAAGATCTCAAATATGATGGATTTCTCACAAGTGCTCCTGAGGGGCAGAGGCAGCCGTCTTCAGGAAAAGCTGCTGTTTGGGCTCCCTAGAGGCTGGTACCTAGAGAAGGGCATTCTTGGGAGCATCCAGCCCCAGCAGGTACACGTTCACCTCCAAGCTCCTGAGGGAAGGGACACATCACCTCCTCGCATATACAGGCCAGATGGACCAAGTTAATGCTCCGAAAGTGGTGACAAGAAGTGACACACAAAGTGGCCAACTGCCTTTGCCCATCACCCTCAGCAGCCAAGATTCCCAAAATGTGAAATCAACAGCATTTCACCTGAAATTTTAAAAAATTAAACACCAAGTTGATACTCAAGATCTTTATTGATTTAACTGTAACAGCAACCATTGGTGAGAATTTAATTTTTTCCCTAATTTCCAAACATCAACTGGTTTGGAAGGACAGTTACAGAAAAAACTGATCACGGAATCACACAGGACTGCGTCAGGACTACATGGTGCCCTCTGCTATCCAGCCACGACAGTGAAATGGACGGGAGGGGGAGGGGACACCACATCAAGGGAGATGAAGGAGTGACCCAGGAAAGCACTGGCAGGCTCCACTTTTCCATTCAGAATGGATGGAACTGCACCACTGGTGGCACCGACAGGAAAGGGCATGCTTTTATCTATAAAATATTTTAAAGATGCTTAAAATGGGCACCTGAATACGTGAGTGTCCTCTGGGCTCTCCAAGACACCTTCTTCAAGGTCTACCCCTGGGCAGCGAGGTCTCTTCACCCAGGCGGGAAGAGCGGGCTCCATGTTCAGGTGCAGGAAAGGCACTGGCTCACAGCACTCAGTGACGTGGACAGACACCAGGGGCAGGTGGCCCACCTGCACGACTCACCCCTTCTCTCTAGTGTCTTCCCCACTCTCCTAGTTTCAAGTAAAAATTACCCTTGGCTTGGGTTTGAGTTTTTTGTTTTTTTTAAAGATTAAGATGGAGAAGAAGGGGAGCAAGTATGGATATTCTGTGCTAGATTCATGGAATTCTCTAAGTTTGAAGTGTCTAGGAATTTTGGTTTTAAGCACCAGCAAGAGCTCCCTTTGGAAATTTCAATACGGCCAAATGATTATCAAGCATCGCAGCCTCTCTGCCAGCCCCCACTCAAGAAAGGTGGCAGAGCGAGAGTGTAAATGCCCCAGAAATGTGCCTCCTCCTGGCAGTATCTTCCAGCGGGCATCCACACAGTAGAGTCTGCCAGGGCTGCAGGAGTTAGGCAAAGCGCAACCACCAACCATCGAAGTAGGGACTCGAAAGACTTCTAAAGCTTTGCCAAAACCTATCAACTTCCAGGACCAGCCCAGAGAAAGAAATTTAAATTCCAGAGGGTAGGAAAGAAACATGAATGATTGTTTGAAAAAATAAGTACGCATCAATCATCCTTAGCCTTCGGTAAGAAATTTCGGTGAGCTAGCTCAAGGAAACTCCAATACTAAACTGGAACGCCATTACCAGAATAAGAAATGCCTCTTGGGGATAAGCATTCTAATTGTGACCCAGGTGCCTCAAGATCTGATTTCATCTTTTATTAAAAGCTGAGAGGTAAGGAACCGGGGGGTATGTGTGGTAACTACACCCCCTTCAAAGTCTAGACAGAAATCGCCCTCCCCGAGAAACGAGGCTTCTTTGAAACGAATGCTACCCGCTCCAGACATCATGGATGGCTGACATTGGGTTCTGCAGATTAATGAATAGCTGCCCATATGCATGTAGTCCAGAAACATGCCAAGAATGAGAAGTTCCGACCCAGAAAGAGAAGGGCAGCAGGCCTCCTCTCTAAGGAGAATGCAAAGGGCTGAGGGCCCAGGCTTCAAGCAGCCAAGATGCCTGATACCCCCCGGAGCATCCAAGACAGGGAGAATAGAAAAAGACTGCTGCTGGGATATTGCTGCCAACACGATGAGCCCCTCACATCAGCTGCCTTGACTGAAAGCAGGCACTCAATGTGTACTGGCTGACCGATGGACTCGGGGTGAAATGCATACATCCAGCAGGCTGCATCCTAATGGAAATGTGTGAACTGGGAAGGGAAGGTCGGAGAGTCCACAGAGCTGGTAACCCAAACAGCAAAAAATAAAACACCATCTATTTTGACTCTACCTCAACATAAGAAGGAAAAACAAAATTCATTTGAGGGTGCTTTAAAGATGAGTTGCTTACTTCTGAAGAAGTACCTTTTTCTTACAGCTGCCTTAGCTGCAATGCTTTTTATTCAAGCATACGCTAAAGCAAGCAGGGCTACACAAACAAAAATGCTGGGAAGCATTTGCATCTTTAAGATGTCTGAAATCTCTAAAAACCTGGTTGGGCATGGGTGCCAGAAACATACAGCAGACATGCACTAAGAAAGCACTGAACTGACCAGCCTCACCTAAGTTTCTCTCGAGGGTGAAGACAGGACTGGTTCTCTTAACCTATTTCCATCAGGAAGGCCAGGATGAGGTGGGCATGCAGAATCAATGGCACGCTGGATTTAAAGGAGCAATCAAGCACAGACATTTCTAATCCCAGATGCTCCCTACTTTACTGAGAAGTGGCTTCTTGGGTGAGAGGCCCAACCCAAGTCTGTTCCAGCTGGTGTGGCTGGAGAAACCAGGTGCCAAGCATCAACTCTCGTGGAGAGCTGGCTTCTGGATGCTATTTCACCCCAAATCTGAACCGTTAGGTTTTCTTCAGCCAGTAACTCAAGATCTAATTCACGTTTGCTCCCTCTGCTTGACAACCCTGAAGCCAATTAAGTCAGCTTCAGTGGATCAGCTAGAAGGATCGAAGTCCCTTTGTCAATTCCCGGCTAAGAGGTAACAGGTAAGTGGTATTGGGTCTTTCGCACCAAGCCTAGGACTTGCAAAGAAGCATCCTTGGGCTGCTGGTAGTCAGGCAAATGCACAGATACTGTATTCTCCTGGGAACTGCCATTTCTCATCACCCCTCTCAACACCAGCAGGTGGCTTTGGGTAAAGAGAGAAAGTCTGTCTTCTGTCCCAGTTGGTAGATACACGTCTTAGAGAACTGTTCTTAGTAGCAACAATTACTCTGCTTTCTCAGCCTATCACCTAATTTAAACCTACCCTTACTGTTGACCTGGTTTCATCCCCTTTTGGGGGTGAGGTGGTTTTAAGATATATCCACAAATTCTGTGCTACTGCTCCATTCAGTAGGTGGGGTGTAATGTCCCTCCCCTCGAGTGTTGCTTCTAAGAAACAGAATAAGGAAGAAGTGACAGTGTGTGCTTTCAAGACTGTCATAAAAGGCACCACAGATTCCTCCTTGCCCCCTCTCTCTGAGATCACTCACTCGGGGAAGCCAGCTGCCATGGTGTGAGGACGCTCATGCTGCTCTACAGACAGACTCACAGGGGAACAAACTTTATAGCCAACGGCTACAAAGAGAGAGTTCAGAAGTGGATTCTCCAGCTCTGGATAACTGTAGATCCTGTGGACATCCTGACTGCAACTTCCTGAGCCCCTGGGCCAGAATGGTCAGACTAAGCCGCTTCCAAATTCCTAACGCACAGAAACTGACAGGTAATGTTTGCTCTTTTAAGATTTTAATTGGGGGTAATTTGTTACACAGCAATAGATTACTAATACAGGACAAAACTCTTGGCTTGGAAGCCCAATTCATAGAAGCCAGCTTCTCTACACTGTGCTCTTGAGAATGCTGTAGCTAAACAGAAAAATTTGAGGAAGTTGTGAACTCAATGAACCACACTATGAAGAAGGCAGAACCATGACAATGCACGTCTCCTGCTGGAATTTGGAGGGAGAAGGTCATTTCTCATTAAGATGGATTGTCCCCAGAAATATAGAAACATGGTTTCTTCATAAAAAGTAGAAATGATTACTAAGATTTTAAGAACCATCTCACTCAAACTGTGTCCTACAGGTGTCCCCTCCCCCCAAAAAGCCAGACGATTCATTGAGGTTTCACCTGTGAATTTCCTTCCAAACATCCAGAAGTACACCACCTACTGGATTCTGGCTGCCCTGAAAACAATGAGGCATGGTACAAAGGTGTCATCTGCCAGAAGTGTACCTGTTGCCTCGTGAAATTCTTTAAAACACCAATTTATGGAGGTTAAGGTAGCTCAGGTCGCAGCAGTCTCCAGGAAAGAACCACACCAAGCACTAAGGAGGTCCCTGAAGAGAAGGCTAACGGATGGGAGGCTGCTCTGTTAAAAAGCTGACCCCACCAAGAAACTAGAAACATGGCCTCCAATTAGGGGGCCACGTGCAGAGATTCCCCATGATGGAGAAAATGGGGAAGATGGCACCTTGACACTATTCCAGCTAGCATGTTTTAAATCCACTCCCCATTGTTCAGTGAGGAAGCCAAGTTTTCATGTGCAGGAATAAAGATCCAGAGCGGATGCTCTTCTGCTCACTGACAGACTGACCAGCTGTAGCTGAAGTCAGATGCCACAGAAGGCAAGGCTAGAGTATGAAGAATGGAAAACTTCATTCCCAAAGAACCAAGCTCCCAGGGGACAAAGAGGTCCTGAGCAAGCTTCTCGTGCAAATTAGGGTGCAACTTAAGTTCTCCCAAGAGTATGTAAGGTGAAGTTTAGAGTTTAATTAGAATCAGAACGGGTATACATTAAACAAACAAACAAAAAATACTTTTCTGATCATCAATTTTTGAGACTGAAAGCATCCCCAAAGCCCTGGAGATCCAGCTTATTCCTGAGAGACATCAACCATCACAAAAGGTTTCACTCTTTGAACTATTCACATTTTGTAGCAGAAAACAGAACAAAGTTCCTCAGACATCCTTCCTCTCTTATGTCTAAAACGTATTTGCAAACAAGGTCTTTTCACAGTTCCAAAGCCAATAGCTTTCTTTCTTAGCCAGTTGGTCTGTTACTCTCACCCTGGGATCTGATCTCTTAACAAGAGGGCTCAGAGCACCAAATCCAACCAGCAATTCCCAGGACATCAATGGCTACTTTACTTGTCTTTCTACGAGGGGAGTCACTCTCCCAGGACTACGGTGCCAGTCAACGGTGGGGAGAGCAGGGTGGGAAGCAGGCGGGATGGAAAGCAAAGGGTGAGGGAGCAGCACGAGGCTTTCACGAACAACCCACGGCAAGGCAGAATGGTCCAGTTTACAAACCACCCTCTACAACTCCAAACACGCACACCAGAACTAGAGGGAGAAGGAAGGTGCTCATAAGGGACTGCGGGAGACAAGGATGGTAACGTGGAACAGCAGACTCGCCTACAGACAATTCTCACCTTCCTAACACTGGAAGATGTGTAATTAAAAAGTTGCTGTTCAAAACTGTACTGAAAACGTCTAAAAATAGGTCTGTAGTCATCTTAAAAATAAAAGGTCACTCCTCAGATAAGAGGAGTGACAGATATTATCAGATACCAACACTTGAGGTATCTTTGATGTACATTTGAAAAAATGGCCTGGCAGAGAAGGAAGGAGAGGGAAAGAGGGAAGGAGGGAAGAAGGGAAATTTAGGGTATGATGAGAAAGGCAAGAAAACTGGGAGGAACACATTTTTTAAGCCCATGCTTATCTATCTCAGCAGCCAAACAGGTCCACAAAGAAAATAAGTTTAGTTCTTCTCTAGAGCACTCTGAAAGTCAACTTTAAACTCAAAACCTAAGAAACTGGAATCAGAGACAATAAATATCATAATGCTCATTGGATTGAAAAACAATGACTACTGAGACTGCGTACTCAAATGGTTCAGTGCTCTTCCAAGGTCATTCTTAGGTATCATCCACAGAATACTATGATGTAGAGTTTAAAGATTTTTGCACACATGTGCTAAGTAAAGGAATGGGAAGACGAACCATAATACTAAAGACAGAAGACATTCCTCCCAGAGGAAGGAGGGAAAGTGGACCTCAAAACAGTGTCACAGGGTAATGTTACTAGAGTTGCACAAGCTGTGTTCTGTCCCCAAGGACAAACACGTCAAGGTAAAAGGCAAAGCAGCTCTCTTCCTGTTTATCATTTCCCTGATGGTTTTGAAGACCCCAAACCCAGACTCTTGCAGCACTGAAACACGGGCGGGAGACAGGGAGGAGAGACAGAGGGTAAGAATATGAATAATGGCGAACCCACCAGACCTCTGTATCACCTCCCAGAAAACTTCCCAGCCAGGCAATTGTTGGTAGAGTGATATTTGATTTGGGATAAAAAAAAATTTGGTGGGGTGGGAGGGAAGCCAGAGATTAAATGTTTTCCTCTGTGGGCTGCTTAGTTCTACAGAAATATGCCAAGGGCCTTCAATCTAATCTGTCTAAGCAGGAATGGGACCAGGAAGCAGGGAGAGGAAATGGTCAGATGAAGCTCATCTTTGCATCATTTGGCACCGGAGGAGGAGGAGGAGGTGGAGATGCAGCGGGACAGCTGGACTGCCTCTCTGTCTTCTCATCGTTGATCCTAATGGCCAAATCAGGTACAGACAGGTATCAGGGTTGCTGCTTTTCTTCTGATGTTTGCAGGACAGTCAGATGTCCATCTCAAACTGAGCATCATCCCCTGATTAGAATGAAGAAAAGAAAAAGTTTAGCACAAAAATGATAAGCAAAACAGCTTTAATGTCATTCCCTCTGCGTGAGGGTCAAAAAATAATTCAAACTGTCCCATTCTCTCCTATCTTAACAATTACTCTGCTTTGGATGGTCTTTTTAAAGGGGGGGAGAAGAATGGCAGTCAAATGACCCATGGGGAGGACACAAGTGACAACTCTCTCAGGGTCCCTCTGTTCACAGGCTGACTAAACAGAAGTTCCAGGAGCTCCTTGTCGTCTCTTGTGTCAGCACACTCTGCTGGCGGTTTTGAACTTTGGCCCTGCTCTGAATTGACACTTTGTCCATTAAAACTCATTTGGAATTGGAGGCAGAATGCTGGCTCATGTCCAGGGGTCATGGACTGCAACCGGAGGTGTACTTCAGGAGCTGGCCATTTCCCCCTCTCTCTTCTGCTTCCAGAGACAGAGAGGACTCGTTACTAAAAGTGTGTGTGTGTCAGGAGTATTTATTGAAATATTACAAGCAGTCCTGGAAATGGGAGAAAAAACATAGTGCTTTTCCCCACACCAAAAAAAGGACATTCTTCCTGTAAGAAACAAGGTCTATTTCCTGAGGGAGATGGAAATGGGGGCTGTTAAAATTCTGTTTGTTTTCTGTGTGTGTGTTATCCCCAGTAGAACAAAGCCTAGGTTCAAGGAGTCATCTTTGGGATTTACCATTCCCTGATTTTGGATTCTTTCCTCCCATCCACTAGACTAGATTCGATTATGATTTAGAACTCAGGGCATCCAGAATATTTCAATAAACCTTGGTGAGGCAAGTCGGGGGCGGGGGGGAATCTTAGAGACATATAACTGAACATCACTTATAAGTGAAGCATCAACATTTTTTCAACCTACAGCAGATAACATCCAAATTCCCAGGGCCACCCCCTTGGTCCCCAATACAGGCATTCTCTTACCAACTGTATGCTTCCTGTCATGATTGTTCAAGTTGTTCAAATTGTTTACTTCTACTTTGGAGTCTTCGATTAAGGTGCCAGGGCTGGTGACTCCTGGGATATTGGGCAGATGGCAGGGTGGAGTCTGAGCCATAGGAGAATTGCGACGATCCAAAAGAAATTTTCGATCATAAATGATTCGGGTTCCTGGAAATCAGGGTTGGAAAGAGTTTAAAACAAACTATCAACATATAATACTACCCAGGAATTTATCTGAAATCCCATCTAATCCTAACCCTTAAGGATTTTTCTTTTTTTAGGAAGATAAGCCCTGAGCTAACTACTGCCAATCCCCCTCTTTTTGCTGAGGAAGACCAGCCCTGAGCTAACATCCATGCCCATCTTCCTCTACTTTACATGTGGGACACCTGCCACAGCATGGCTTTTGCAAGCGGTGCCACGTCTGCAGCCGGGATCCGAACCGGCGAAACCCGGGCCGCCGGAAGCGGAACGTGCGAACTTAACCGCTGTGCCACTGGGCCGGCCCCAAAGTTTTTACAAGTCAAGCAAAAGGGTAAGCTCTAAGCCCACTGCCGGGAAGCAGGCTCCTGTGCGGCTTGGAATGCCTTTTCCTCCTCTTCAGCTGGGGAAACTCCTGCTCATCCTTCAAGCCTCAGCTCCCACATCATTTCCTTTATGAAGCCTTTTAAAACAAAACAAAAAAAAATCACATTCTTTCCCCCCTTCTTACTCAATCCACATTGCCTATTACAGACTTGTTTATCTCTGCGCCTCTCTCTAAAGACTGAGTTTCTTCTACCAGGGCTATGTCTTATTTATATCTGAATGAGGTTTTAAGATCTTCTTCAAAAAAGTTTTAAATCAAGTAATAAACAAGTATGTGAAAAAATAGCCAACAGATAGCCACCTTTAGGTTAACGGTTTTCCAAGGAGGCATTGGGACCAACATTTTTTCCTGACAGCTACAGTAGAAGCTGGAACTGGCAGTCTGCCTATATTTTACAAAACAATCTGCTCACCAGTGAGCGCTACCAGAATGTTTTACAATAGTTCTGAAGAATGCACTTTACTTGATAAACAGTTAAGAAAACCGGCTGCTGTCTAGTTCTGTCATGGTCTTCCCAAGGAACTAATGGCTACAAACAAGACATAAAACTAAGTGACAATTTAGAGACGTGTGATGTTGGCCTCATGCAGTACATGCCCAGAGCTCTGCTGCCGACTCTAAGGCTACGGCTAGCTCAGTAAGAAAGAGTATGGTGACCATTCCTGACGTCTGCAGCAGCGGCTGAGGTGGAGAGGGGAGTGGCTGCCCAGCACACTCGCCATCGTGGCCTTCCTAAAAGGGAAGCAGTCATGTGGAGGTTGTCTTGCTCACACTACACTTAAATCCAGAGAAGAAAAACCTGCTTTAAGGGTTGAGGCACCCACGGTAAAGGCAATATTAATGAAAATAAAACTGTCTGCAAAGCTACCCTGTTTAAAGAGGGAGAATCTAAATGCTACCTGCAGGTCAATGCTTTTAGATGCTCAAGCAAGAGGAATACTCCCGTCATCTCACAGCATGGAGAGGCCGGTTCAGGCAGACTTCCTTCAACAACACAGGAGAGCTCCATGCAGGGAAGCCGAACAAGCAGAACAGCTACCAAATCTACCTGAAAGGTGAGGAAGCACGAAGAAGCAAGCCAGGCATTTACTGCAAGATGAATGGAAACTCTGGAGTGTTCCCAAAGGAGGAAGGGAAAAACCTCTAATCTAAAGAACTAACACCAGTATTAACCTAAATAGCTGGGAAATGAGTTACAAACTCAATGATTTCCCTGGGATTAATATCCGCAGTGGTACCATGACACTTTTACGCAAATGCTAGTAAATGATTTCCTTTCGACTGGATGGAAAATAGTCAAACTAGCACCTTCCTACGTAAGAAAATGACCAGTAGAGACTCAACTCTCCATCCCCACCATCCTTGCTTTAAAAAACAGAATTAAGTAGTAAACATACTCTCAGTACTACTACAAAATCAGTCACAGGAAAGAATGATTAAGTGTCTCAGAATGGAAGAATGTTCTCAAATGGGTATCTATTAGCACATGAAGGCATTTCAAAAAACCTTTAAGGCTTCAAACCAACTCCAAAGGATATCAACTTTCTTTTTTTACTATCTAGTTCTTTTGCAACTATACTGCACACACCATCATATTTACAGTTTATAAGAAGTGAAAATAAAATATGTGGCTCTCAGCCTCTCCATTTGGAACCGACTAAGATGGTATTTTTGCAGATGTCTGCATCAGAATCATGTGGGATGCCTGCTAAAAAATATTCTAACTGAATCCAAATCCTTAGGATTAGAACCTGGAAATCTATATTTTCTTCAAGTTCCCCAGGTCATTCTTATGTTTATCAAAGTTAAGAGCCCAACTTCATCCTTCTTCCAAAATCCTAACAAGAGTGATTTGAGAATAGATGAAACAGCAAAGACTTAGTAAGAGGATGATGGAAGAGGCTATAGAGATCGCTTTGACAGATGATGCTGAGACGCAGAAAAACGACTTCAAGGCCACAGAGCTAACGAGAGGCAAAATTGGAACTGAACCCCTGGTCTCCTGACTCCCAGTCCAGCCCTTTCATTCCACCTCACAGTCTCTATGATCTCCAAGAATGTGAAGTGAAAGGAGTGGAAAGGTAACTACTACTTATACATAAAGAACAGGGTAAACAGCAGATGGTATGGAAAGCAGTTTATACAAGAGAGCACCAAACATCTGCCCTAAAGCATGGCTTCCTAAGAGGGGTGGGGGGAAGAGGTGGGGATGGTGGGATTATTGCCCCGTAGAGAGTGTTACAGAAATGGGTGGAGGTGGTTTTTGGTCTTCTAGTTTGGCAAGGCCTGAGTACTTATATATTTTATAAATTACCCAATTTTATATTTCTTCTTACATGACAGAAATAGTTTTTTAAAATTATATGAATACGTAGGTTATATAATCTAAGAAATTCATTTCAGAATAGTAACGGAGCATTACAAACTTTGGTAATAAAGGGGATGCTGCTAGAGATGATAATCACTAAAGAATAGCATGGCAGAAACCAGGGTAAGAGCTCGAAATAGCGTAAATGTGCTCCTTTCATCTATAAGGCCGAGTGAAATAGGCTAAGACCAAAAACTTCACAAAGGACGTGTTTCAGTCCTAGTGTGGGCTAGAACGAGCTTCCTGTTTTACTCTTAGAAAGATTTTGGTGCAAAGGCCCACAGTCCATCTGTGACAGGCCTCGACACCGCAATCTTAATGCCAGCAGAACAGCTTTGCATGCCTCCCTCCAACCCTTTAAGTGCACTTGGAAAAGTTGGAAATCATTCATTCCTGGTTTAAAGACGACACAGGTCTTATATCTGGTTTCAAATATAATTTTAGGACAAGGAAAGCAGAAATTTAACTTTATCCTCTTTGCTTTGAAAAATAAGAACTATAATAACAACTCAAAAAAGCATCTGGAAATTATGAAGAATGAGTCATTCTGGATAGGAGAAAACAGTTCAACTTTCAAAAAGGGAATAATTTGAATCATTTTGGATGGAAATTTTTCTAATATGTATTTAAAACTTTTTACTGCCTTAAACAGAAAACAATTCAACCCTTTCTCAATGAATGAGTCATTATTATGAAAATCTTTTATCATACTATGTTGTGACCTAGGAAGTCTTAGGGCCTACTCAGCTGATGCTCTTATTTTCCTTATACGTACAGAATTCAGTGGCCAAGGTTGTGCTTGTGCCCGTCCCTGTTTCTGTCTCCTCCCTCACTGTTAGGCTAAGAACCATCTTTCTTCCTGCCATAACAAAATATCACAGACCAGGTGGCTTAAACAGAAATTTATTTCCTCACGGTTCTTGAGAAGTACAAGCTCAAGATGCCAGCATGGTCTGTTTTTGCTGAGAGCTCTCTTTCAAAACACAGATAGCAGCCTTCTCACTGTGTTCTCACATGATGGAGGGAGGAGCAAGCTCTCTAGTGTCTCATCTTATAAGGGCACTAATCCCATGATGAGGGCCCCACTCTCATGACCTCATCTAAACCTAATCACCTCCCAAAGGCCCCATCTCCAGTTATCACATTGGGGTTAGGGCTTCAACGTCTAAATGGGGGGGCGGGCACAATTCAGTCTATAGTACACCCTTTACACCCATTCACACCTGATGCCTCTAATCTGTTGGGTTTGGAAATCAGCAGTGACCTGCTTATTAGAATGATATGTCAAATAAGAGCAAATAGGCTGAGAGGGACCCGAGGCTTTGCAATGAACAGAGGGAAGGAGTTTGGGCGGATGGACTTCACTCATCTGCTGTGTCACCCCCGTTTTTGTTCACGGTTAGGTTTCAGAAGGGTGAGGTTTCACTGTGAGACGGTCTTACTAACATTCAACTTAGAAGTTGGAACGAGATTATTCTTACTTCTGTAGTACACCAAGCCTGGTAACTCTGTGGATGAGGTGGTGAAGAAAAAAATCACAAGATAAAAGCAAGTTTTCTATTTTTAAATTATGTATTAGCAATAACATATGCATTCAAGAACTGTAATGGAACCAGATAGGAAATAAGTAGTAGAGAGTCTACCTAAATGTGTGCAGTAAAGAGAAACTCTGAAGAACTTCTATGACTTTGCAGAGGCAATAAAATACATTTTTGACAGCTTTATTGAGATATAATTCACATATAATTCATTCATTTAAAGTGTATAATTCAATAGTTTTTAGTATATTCACCGAATTGTGCAAGCATCACCACAATCAATTTTAGAACACTGCCATTTCCCCAAAAATACCCACACACGTTTAGCAGTCGCTCCCCATTTCTCCAACCTCCCAGCCCCAGGCAACCACTAAGTTGTTTTCTGTCTCTACGGATTTGCCTATTCTGGACATTTCATATAAATGGAATCATACAATTTATGGTCTTTTATGATTACTTCTTTCACTTGCATAATGCTTTCAAGGTTCACCCATGTTTAGTATTTACCAGTACTTCATTTCTTTTTATTGCCAAATAATATTCCATTGTATGTACATATCACCTTTTATCAATTAATCAGTTGATGGACATCTAGGTTGTTTCCACTTTGAACAATGCTGCTATAAACATTCATGTATAAATTTTTGTGTGGACATGTTTTCATTTCTCTTGG